TGGTGTGGTGATAACAAATTGAAATTATACTCTGCCCTACAAGAAACAGGTTCGATCTCCGTTGGGGATGCGGATGAGGCCCAGACAAGGACTAAGCTGTATTCTAGTCCAGTTTGGATGAAAGTATCTTCTGTGAAATTCATTGGCACTATGAGGCCTAGTCATCTGGTTGTGGGAAAAGTCATTAGCAGTTCTTCATCAGCTTCAAATAACCAACGCGTTTGCTCAAACATGCCAGGGCTAATCAATCAAGAGAGATAACTTACTTTTGTATTCTGTATACGCTAATATTGTTAATTTGCCCAGATATATTATAGGTAGACTATGAACAAGGGCAGGTGACACTAGTAAAAAAGTAATATTAAACTACAGAAGCCTTAATGGCTCTATTATAAAGATTATTAGATTAGTTATTTATTTATGCCTCGCTATAGCCAGTCATAACCACCAGAGAGCCACGAAATTCAAGAAAGGACAACAAATGGCCAAGCTTTTGTGGATTTACAGTTTGAGGAATACGAATGTTTGAGGGGATGAAGGGAAAGTATGAGCGCAATTTGGTCTCAAACCATCCAACTTGTAATGAACAAGCCATTTATCCCTATTTCCCTCCTTTCTCAGATCTCCTGCTCCGCATCAGAAGACATTTTTGGATAGCTGTATCAGAAGTGAAATGTGAGGCTTTGCTAGACAAAACTCCGCCTTCCTCCCTGACCTACTTAAATGGATCGACAGCAGATCACCTTCTAACCCTCAACTTTAAACTGGCCGACGGTGTACGAATGCCTAGTGTAATTGGATTTCGATTGTACTAACTTTCCTGTCTTAATTATACACGATGACAGCTTTACTGTCCCGATTTCTGATATCAAATCACAAAATGATGCTAGTAGCGGAATGATCGGTCAATAAATGCCACTGGTGAACTCATCTCCATTTAGAGATTATAGGGTTGATAAAAGCAAAAGTCGATGGCAGATTCCCTTTGGCCACTTGTCATTAACACTGTCTTCGAGAATAACGCCTTAGATTTCAGCGGTTCCTCTGAGACAATGTCCTCTATATTGTTATAAAATAAGTCAAATTATAGCTGGCCGCGGGGAATCCTCCGCCGTTTTTCGGTGTTGTCAACTCTAGAATCTCATCATACACAGTTTCATGAACTAACGATGAGATAAACAAGTGTAACCCAAAATAGTGTTCGAAACCCAACTTTTCTTCGTATCAGTCTTACGGGTATCCATTTGTCAACCATTTCAAGTTTATTTGAATCTGTACTTCTGCTCCCATTTTTTTCGTTTATGCACGTGTAGATACGCTTAACAGATAGCTCTATCTTCTCAAGTCAGAGACCTCTTTCTATACTCCTTAAAATATATAAATATCTATAAATATAAATTAGTATATATTTCGATTAAAATTTAGATAATATATAGAGTCACAAATTCGCGCCACAATTTCACACCACTATTACGCGCCTCACTTCGAACTCCATCAACTTAATTCCTTTCGCAACTAATTGAGCTGGAATGCCCAAATGTATACTCCTCATGTTAACAGAGACCCACTCTCCCGACCAGTGACAGCTGTACGCTTGCCTCCCCCCCCCAAGAACCAGAAGGCTCAAACTCCTACAGAAATGCCACTTAGCCAAGCCAGCTCCTTCAATCACAAGCAAGTGGATATTAAGTTCGACCGCATCGGCGGGTCAAAGCAACCCTATCCATCCTTGCCACCTCCTCTAGCCGGTCGTCAATGCTGTCGACATACACAAACAACTCTGCGCTACAGACACACCTTTTTCTGCACATGCTATTTAACATTCGGTCTAATCTAGGCCTTGACATTTCTCGGTCCGAGTACTTCAGCAGTAACGTCAGCGAAGATGTCTTGCTTTGAGGAAGTCTGTCACAAGAAAGACGGATCCCTAGCAGGTAGCCATAAAGATCAGAACTCAGCAGCCTTAGGGCTGTGCCAACTTACAGAAACGCATGTACCACAGAAAAAAGAACATCCTCTTCCCGCTTCATGAAGGTTTGGACAGCATATCTTTTCATCAAACTCCAAAAGAAGAACACAATCACTCAATGAATTAGTAATGGTCAATATGATGTGTTTAGATCTTGTGGCATAAATTTCGACCTAGTGCACATTTGAGGCCCATCCACATATGTACATTTTCGTCCCAACCTGACAGTTATTAATGGCCGTATATCATAATACTGGCGGCAAAAGAAGCGTGCCATGCTATGAAGAGCAGCCCCAAATAAAGAATTTTTTCCGCAAACCAATTTTATGGCGTCACCGGATGCTCAACAAGAAATATTCACATAAATAAACAAATAAAGACATGTACACATGCTCGCCAGAGCTTAACTTGCTGTATCTGGTCGTTAAGGAGTGCATGGATAAGGGTATAGGCCTGTTTATACGTGAGTATGGATTAATGAATAAGTAAATTGAAATGAGACCAGTGATTAATATCAATCTGTATGCATTATTGTCCCGAAATCCACCGGATGCTACCACCCTGAATACCCACCCCACTTCAAACTTGGCCTCTCTTCAACTTTCATATTTTCGTTGTTCTGCCGGCCTGCCCAGTTTTCAGTCCTACGCTCTAGGCCGGCATAACATGATTAGTCAATTTGGTCCGTCGCCATGACCTCTAGCGTCGGCACCAGGCGTAACCTCATTTGCTCATTACAAGGTCTGCCAACCGATTTCATCCTAACGGCAACCATTTCTCTTCAGCCAAGCCACTCGACTCTTATTTTGTTACTTAATTATAGGAACGGAGAGAGAAATCGCGAACTGTTCTGTCTATACCTTTTGGCTAATCGCGTCATGTAGGGAGTAGACAATGAGAATTTGACAGACAAGCTGCCATCGTGTCTACTTGGGGCTGAAAAGATGGCGTCCTTAGAGCACCGGCCAGTTTAAAGTCACAATCTAAAGGGTCGAAAGTTAATATACTGACAAACCACTTAAGTAGGTCAGCGCCGACCAATAAAACCTTGCGTCTCGCATCTCGCGTCTAGCAGAACTAGGCAAAATTGTAACTGAAAGTCGAATATCTCCTGATTTGGAGTAAAAGTGCTGAGGGACAAGTGCATTCTCCCAGCGAAATGGGTATTAATGGCTTGCTCATTGCAAGCTGGGTGGCTAGGGGCCAAATTGCGCTCAAACTTTTCCCTCAACTTCTCGTACCTTCGTATTCGCCGAACTGTGAATGCACAAAACTATGATCACATGTTTAAATCTGTTTGGTCTCGAATCATGGGGGCGGTGATGGCAAGGTCTAGATAGCATTTCATCCCTGGCTTGGCACTCTTTTGGCCAACGAAATCTACTTTCTATGAATATAAGTAGTGTAATCGATTGCAGTGGTAAAAGTGCAAGTCTGCATTATCGCCAATTCTATTATGCAATGTGAGACTTGAATCTAATTGAAATTCACGTCTGTTCTGTGATTTGAGGGAATTCATGACAGTATGGCATGCTGCACTACCAGGGTTTGATTCCC